TTTTCTAACAGTAAGTGTTGTCTTTCTCTCTCTACATTGCCTTTGCTCCAAGGGCTCAGTAGCAAATTTTCTTTGTCATAAAAAAGTAAATCCCTTTTCAGTCAAATATTCACAATTAATTCCTCATTAAAGTTTAATTAAGAAAAATGCATTTGCTAAATATAACACTAATAAGTTTAATATAAATTAGAGTTTATCAAGGATAAAAATTACCATTTTTATAACATCAGTAAATAACATGAAACAAGTCACTAGATTAGTTTAACGTTAATTAAAGCGTATCAACAAGAATTTAAAAAGGTATCAATTGGTTCATTCAATGTTGATTAAATTCATGAATGTAACCTTTTAAAAAATCGAAATACATGAATGAACTTCATTCAAACTTTTAAAAATAGGATTTTCTAATATTGGTTGATCTTCATATAAATTTATAATAAATCCTATTTATTAGTGCTATAAAAGTGCTACTTTTTTAACCTTATTGATTAGCTCCAAGTCATATTCAACGTATTTGTGTTATATTTCATCTTGAATGAATTTATGTATATATAGATTTTCTTGCAAGGTTACATTCATGAATTCGTTCGAGGTTAAATATAACACTAATAATTTCAATATCAACTAGAGCTTATCAATAGGGTCAAAAAAAACAACATTTTTATAATGCTACTGGATAGGATTTATTACAAATTTATAACAGAATTGACCAATATTAGGAATTTGGAGTTTTAAAAGTTCAAGAAAAAGCTCATTCATGTATTTAGACTTTTTGAAATGTTTCATTCATCAATTTAATCAATATTCAATGAACCGATGGATACATTTTTGGATTCTTGTTGATATGTTCTAATTAATGTTAAATTATTATAGTGATTTTGTTTAGCCCATTCATTTTCCTTGGTTAAATTTTGAATTCATAGTATAATTTGTATTAATTGGTGACACATTCTAGGTTGTCACTTTGATTTAATTAGTTATGGTGTGCGTTGTTTTGTTATTTAGTTTTGATGAGAGAGAAAGAGGGATTTGGAGTGAGATAGAGAGTATAATTTTATACTAAAAGAAAGATTAGAGAGTGCCACTTTTGTTACTTCTGTGATTACTCACTACATTGAAAAACCTCTGGTTAGATTGAGAAACAGGGTGCCTTTAGGGAGAGAAAGAGAGTATTGTAACATTTAGAGTGAAAAGTTATGGAGACTTTAGAGAGAGACTTCTGCTTCTCCTAGTGATTTGGTCTTAGTTTGAGCTCTACAGTTCTTGCGTTACGAAAAGTGTTTGATTGTTTTTGCACTTAGATTGGCTTCTAAAATCACTTGCACTATGCAATTCTAGGAATGTTTCTCTCTAGACTTAAGAAAGAGTGGAAAATTCTAGGAAGAGAAAGGATTGCTACTTCCTACTCTGTTCATTGGTTTATTAGAAAAGCCTTGTCATTCCTCCCTGAATTTCACCTTTAGAACTTTTCTTTCTTTTAAGCTCAATCCTGAGCTTTCTCTTCTTTCTAGACCTGATAAGGAAGCATAACTTAAACAAATCTTTACTCAGTTTCTCCTCTTTAAAACCTGCAAAAAAAGAGAGAAGATGCTTCCTCCTTTTGCTTACGCTTATATAACTTATTGTAGTGCCAATAGTACCGACATATGTGGATAACAACATTGGTTCAAATACCTCTAGAGTTAAGTTACCATGTTTATGGCCCATGAGCACAGAAGTGGAACCCCTAGCAACACTCAAGGACAGTGTGTTATACAAGCTAGGGAATGTGGCCATTCCTCGTCAAGTAATGACCTGGCTGATGCTCTAATGGATGACAGTTCGAGGATTGGATACTTGATTTTAAAAACCTCCAAATGGTTATGCCCCTTGCCCGAGGCGCATTGGGGTAGATACAAAGAGCTACTTACAATAGTGAGAAAGTGGCTGTAAAGATAATTAAGGGGCTTGATGATGAACTTAAAACGAACCAATCGATGGAGAATCAATTCGCTCATGAGGTAACAATGCAAGCCACATTGAGGCACCCCAACATTGTGAGGCTTATTGGAGCATGTAGGAAACCTTTGGTTTGGTGACTCGTTATTGAGTATGCAAAGGTGGGTCACTTAGGGGGTTTCTGAGGAAGAGGCAGAATAGGGTCCTGCCACTAAAGGTGGTGGTACGTCAAGCCCTTGATATCGCTAGGGGAATGGCTTATTTCCATAGTATGGGATCATTCATAGGGACTTGAAGTCGGATAATCTCCTCATTGTAACTGATAAGACGATAAAGATCATGGATTTTGGGGTAGTGAGGAACGACGTACAGACAGGGAATGACCCTTGAGACAAGAACTTATCAGTGGATAGCACATTTTTTTATTTCATTAACTATACTTAATTTTTTTTAGTTTTAGTTGCATTGAAAATTAATGGTGGGTTGTTCAATTTAGTTTATGACATGTTTCTACTTATATTTCTTTTATCCGGTAAACAACTCTGTCATGTTTGTTTTTTTTCGTAGCACATTGAGAGACTTGATAAGTTAGTATAAAATCCTCTTTTTGCATGAAAAAGTAATCTAGATACAGAAAAGAAGAATTCACAAAGTTCTAGTAAAATAGCATAGCAGTGGAACTTTCCAAAAAATGCCAAGAAATCAATTTAGAGAATTTAATTGTAAGCTATTGGAGATGAAAATGTGACGATAAAACATTCTAAAAAATCCACACTTTAAATGTGCTACTAAAACAACATGACAGAGTTGTTTACAGGACAAAAAAATAATAAGTAGAAACATGTCATAAACTTAAATAACTCACCATTAATTTTCAATGCAACTAAAACTAAAAAAATTATAGTATAGTTAATGAAATAAAAAAATGGCAAACAGAGCAACCACTCACAGTGCTATCCACCGATAAGTTCTTATCTCAAGGGTTATCCCTTTCGTCTGTACCTCGATCCTCACTACCCAAAATCCACAATCTTTATCACTTTATCGGTTACAATGAGGAGATTATCCAACTTCAAGTCGCTATGAATGAATCCCACACTATGGAAATAAGCCATTCTCCGGGTGATATCGAGTGTTTGACGTACTACCACTTTTAGTGGCAGCGCCCTATTGTACCTCCTTCTTAGAAACCCCCTAAGTGACCCACCTTTTGCATACTCAGTAACGAGGCACCAAACCAAATGTTTCCTACATGCCCCAATAAGCCTCACAATGTTGGGGAACCTCAAGGTGGCTAGCGTTGTTACCTCATGAGCGAATTGATTCTCCATCAATTGTTTCTTTTTTGGGTCATCATTAGGCTTTTCAATTATCTTTACGGCCACTTTCTCACCATTGTAAGTAGCTCTATGTATGCGCCCGAATGCGCCTCGGGCAAATGGCGTACCCATGTGAAGGCTTTTTAAATCAAGTGTCCAGTCCTCGAAGTGTCTTAGGTCCTCCGCAAGACAACTTAGCCTACACTATGGATGTACACAATCTACCTCATTACAGTGGTGCCTCCTTATTATGTCACTCATCATAGAAGCCTCCTTATACAACTCATAATATGGCCGTCGAGCATAAGCCATTGCTTGTGCTGAGCTTCCTTTGATCAATATCCACTCCTCATAGTGATTTATCCCCTCTGTTCGGTTCATATGGTCCATAAGGGCATGGTAGGGGATTTTTCGAGAAAATTCCTTGGATTTCTAGCTTGTAGGACATTATTTCTCATAGGCTAGCCATTAATTCCTGCTACTGTATCTGGGTGCATTGCTACAGCGATATGGGACTTGTGACAAGATCTCTCTCCCAGGAAGATCACTAATGGAAGTTTTTGGTAATAAACTATAGGAATGTCTTCTACACAATGGAAGCTTCAATCTCTGCTCTATATTTGTTACTTTTTACTTTTTTTGTTTTTGTTTTTTTGTTTAAATGATTGCTTTCAAAGAAATATATTGATTCCTGATCTTGTCACATTTTGTTTTTAATTTTGAGTTTAATTATTTTTCTTGCTTTGAATTTTATCAATGGCCTCACTAGTTTTCTCATTATACAACACTATAATTTTGCAATTGAATCTTTAAATAGTTTGAAATTTTATGAGTACCACATTTATAGTTTTCAATTTTTTCCCTCCTCAAGAATTTATCCTGCCAAGTTTATCCAGACCTTTTACATTTAAAATATGGGCTTAGGTGAAGCCAGATTCCATTTTTAGTGTAGTGGGAGTAGCTCATTATTACCCAAATTCTGCCTTAAGGACCTCTCTCTATCAGAGGATATATTGCATTTTTTGCTAACATTGAATTTGCAGTTTATAGATTGGAATCTTATGTTCACTCTGTTTCAGGTACGCATTACTCTTATTCATATTTATGGTTGGAACAATGGTTTTGGAGTTCAAAATCTTCTTATATGCTTTGCTAAAATGCATGTGTTTGTGTGTATGAGAGAGAGAGAGAGAGAGAGAGAGAGAGAGAGAGAGAGAGTAGTTACGTTGTGTCGTCGTG